TGACAAGACTACCAGGACTTAATGTTGTAACTTATTACACGGACAGGCTGTTTCCGTGGATATCAGGTTATTTAAGATGATTGGGAACTTTTTTAATCTGTCCATTTTCATGACAAATGGATCGGGAATAAGAGTACAGAGAACTTTATCCCGATAAACTTAAAAAATTAAATCGCCTTGGAGTCTGATGATCGTGAATGGCCTTTATTATTACTAATTCAAGTTCCAGTATCAAGTAATAACTGATTTTGACTCCTATAGTACCAGATACGTAGGTCATAGCGACACTTCCCTATACTTTCTGAGGATTTTATTGTAGCTTTCGGTATGGAGGTATATTTAGGATAGGACATAAATGCACATGAGAAATAGAATAGATAGCTTGATAAATACCGTTGACCTCTAGTAGATTTTATACTGCAACATTTTAAATGTGCGTTTAAAGCACATTTTATTGCGAGAAAAATTACATGGAAATACTCGTCCATCAAACATCAATTTTCTGTGTTGAAAGTTTTACCAAGACTATAGCAGCATTTCTCAAGGGAAAGTTATAAAGAAAACAACAAATATAGTCAGCTTTGACCTTATTCCCAACGGCGCGTGGCGAAATTTCAAGGTTATTGTTGCAACTGGAAACTAAGTCATTGATAGTGGACATGCAATCATACGAGTTACTAAAATGACTGGTTTGGATAGCCTAAATGAGCCAAAGCAAATATATAGACGTCCAGGTGAAGAGAATTCCAGTAGTTACGCTGGCCTTCACGCAGAAACAACAACCAAATCAGACTAGAATTATTCCAAGCAACTCTGGGAGTTAGATTAAGGAAGAATATACGGACTGCAGATCATCCGCATAAATGACGGTCGGAGCTCACAATTGCCAATGAGATATCACTAAAACAAACCTTAAACTTGGACAGAGAAAAAGCGTTGTCATAAAAAGCATTACTTGTAATAGAGCGTTCATTTGAAAATGACATACTTATTTAGCAATTTAGGTTCCGATTAAATATTCATGACTAAAAAAGTCAATAGGGGGCTGCAAAATCCTATAGCCCGTAGTTTTACTATGAATCAAAAATGTGCCACTCTATTGAAGGCTTTACTCAGGTACAAATAAGTAACCGTCATAGTTAAAGGAAAATCAGCCATCATGACCAGTATGGCGTCATTGTTCAAGACCTCACTGCCTCAGGGTCATTCACGCCTTTGCAGTGAACCGTTCCAGGCGCGCTGACCTGAAGTCACACGATCAACAGCCCGGGCACACCTGCGTTCGAACAGCCGCAGCTGTCTATGCGGCCACGAACGCACCTTCCCCTGCAACCGCAACCTAAGTCCCTAGGACACCACCCCTCGGCAAATGCAACACACACTGACTGGCCACCACTTGAGCTTGGCCCACGACCCTAAAAAAGCGCCTGCCACCACTCTCTCAGGGACTCTCAGGCATGACTTAACGCAGTCAACACCCGCTCTGGCAGCGTCAGTGGCCACTGCCGCCTGAGAGGACCACTCCGGGTTCTGTGCACAATAAACTCCTCATTCTGTTTTCTTCTTCCGTTTTCACCCTACAATTTGGGATCTGACCCAACGATGGTAGCGCACAGACAGGGAACCATTTCACCGCCTGGTCACTATAAAGTTAATCCAGAAAACACACGCGATATGTTAGTACGACAAAAGAAAGTAATAGCCGAAAAACTAACATGAATGAGACCAATGCATTGAAATCCTATAGACTATAATTTTGTTGTGGTAGGGCAGTAAGAAGCAGCCGTCTAGTATATGTGCTTAAATTCTTGAGTTGACTGGTTATTCCAAAGATCGACATAGTCAACGGACTGTCAAACCCACACGGGTTGGAGGAAATCATTTTAACTGCTGTAGGCAGGTTCCTGAGACATGCTCCCCTGTATTCAGCTCAACTCGCAGTGGATGCTTTGTGCATCACTCAGAAACACCGCGTTTCCTTTTGCTTGCAAATCACTACTGGTTTCAGATGAATGACAGAGGCTATCTGCTAGCGGTATCGCAAAACCTCGAAGATTTCACTGTCAATTTTCTACCAAAAATGACAGTCAAAAAGGCGTCAAAGCAAAACATTAAACAAAATTGCTCCTGAATTCTGGATGATCCGCAAAAATTCTCAAACGCATATAAAAATGGACGCATAAATTTTACGGCGGTGAAATGTAAGCAGACAAACAGAATAGGCCAATGTTCTGCATGGCCTTGCAACGCCTTGTTGGATTGGCTGGTTGGGTTGACGTTCCGTTTGTATGGGAACGAAGATGTATGCGCATTTGACAACAAAGGGCTTTGGAATGCATATTGCATGCGTGACTCGCTCTGAAAGTCTATATTTTTGGTGTCATTTCCAGCTGTGTAAACGTCATTATTAATTTTGTGGCCTTGTTCATTCAGTCACAGTTACTGAGGTGGAATTATTATCATTACCATTAGGTTCGAACAACGCCATGCAGACTCTCCTCTTTTGAAGCCTATCAGTTATGACAGAATTAGCAGGAATGGCTAAGCAATCTTTCTATTTTTTTCAAAAGTGTGCATTTTAATGGTCGCACCCGGGCATTTTCGTTTTTTATCATCTGTGATGCACAAAAATAGTTTGTGGTTTTGCAATGCCGACATTTTTGATGGCTACTGTGGCATTGATGGTATTTTAGAAACGGCTATGAGTATATTCTAGTGATTATTCACATAGGGTTTGGGGAACACTTAGTAAGTTGACAACACTCCAAATGACTACCTCTCGGATAAATTCATCCACAACCGACAGTTTCGACAAAGGAATGCGCAGTCCGACGGAGGACAGAGGTGGCTTCCACCTGTATAATAATGTAGTCAATCATCGCAAGCATATATTTATATCCTGTTGATCGGTGTGTCTAAAATGTTATTAGTATGAGATACAGGAATTAATCGCCCATCGTCACGGCTCTCCGTCCTCCGCAATTGACACAGAGGCAGAGTTTTCCATCCTTGAGAATCAAGTGCTCGAGGAAGTCCAGGGAGAAGATAGCGAAGGAATGATGTCCGCCTAAATGTGGTCAAGGCTTTCATTAACCTCTTCAAAGTAGTAAGTTGGCCAAATAGACTGTAGCCTCGGTATCAATCATGTGCTTGTATCTGGTACGACTGTGATCACGTCTGACTTAGCCGGTTTCTGTGACGTCGCGAAATGTGTGATCCCACCTCTGACGGCCTGCCACGGTGACCTGGCGAGTTCGACTCATATTCTCTTGCAGCCACGGAGACTGAATATCGGGATTCCGACTAAGTTTGTTGGCCAAGCAAAATCTCTGAGGAGTATTTGTGAAAACACAAATATATATCGTTATGTGTAAATACGATAGTCGATACGACAGCATTATTTGTACAGCCATGTCCGACTTTCTCAGGTTTTACGTTACAGTAGATGACTGATCAAGTTGGGTTTGAGGGTCTTTTATGTCTGTAGTACAATCGACCTCGGAAGGGAAGTTTAATTCCAAGGGAATTACCAACCAATTTTAGATTAAATCAAGAATTATGGTGACAGTTAGCTCCTGAATGCATAAAGACATAGGGACACTTCTTAAGAAATAAATAGGCTTACGGTTATTGACTAAGTTTGAAGATGGGTTATGCGCGGTTTGACTAAACCGGTATGTATGGAGTAGATACAGTTTGTCGAAGTTAACGAGATACACAGAGTCAGTAACGGGGAGAGCGTGGGCGAAACGACCTTTATAATATGCATAAGCAATAAAAAAAATACACGCGCCAAAACCGGCTATACACCTGGTCAGCATCTCTTGCCGTCTTCTATTACAAATAGTGCACACCTCTTCCTGCTTGGTCTCACAATACGGTCCAATGAACCGGAAACTTTGTCCTGCGTGCGATCTTTCTTGCCCTAACCCTTGTTAGGTCCTGTCCTGACCACGACCTATGTCACAGTCTCGCCAACTCAAGCAAAACCTGTCATTCGCCGACTACGTCCGGGTTTTGGAAAGCCAAACTTGATTGCTACTCTTCGAATACTGCTCAGAAGGCCGACGGCTTAGTCCAACTTTATGACTCCGCAACGCCACTAGATGTTTTTTACAACTTGTTTTATTCTTCATGCGACTTTCGTGCGGTCTAAGATGTTGTTTTTCTTCACAGGCCTTCTAATTCGTGACAAACTTCGCCCCAATCTCTACCGTTTGCTGTATATTTTACCAAACCTGAGGTGTGCCGTGGCCACCTCCCTAAAGTATTTACAATTCTCCCTCCAAACCATGTGCCTCCAGTAGCATTTAAAAAGCATCACTATTCACTTGTGCATCACATTTGTTCATGAATATAAAGGATCCCGGTGTTCGATGCGATGAGGCAGAATTGAATCTTTCCATTCGCTAGTCCAAGAGCATTGAAGAAACTCACATCGAAAGAGTGATATCATCGCCAGATCCAGGTAAGAAACTAAACGATATTAAATTGCGAAAATCGTGTGCGCAACGGTTATTGTTGCTACGACAAGTGGCGTCATATGCAACGACTATTCGTTATCTGCCGGCTTGAGCTATCGCTTATGCATACCATTGTCTACATTTGAGGTTCTTTTTATTAAAAAAAGAAAAATCCCGGCCTCTTCTCAACCTATTTTTTTTGTTTTCGGTCGTATGTAGACTGGAAGCGCCTGCAAATGTCTTTGGTTGCAAAACTCCCAGAATGATTACGATCCAACACGTGTTCTCCTCTACTCTCTCTCTCTCATAGTATATTGACGATGACAATACTTAAGCCCATTTTGACGTGTTTCTACTAAGTACGTCTCCAATATCATTATAACCAGACTCTCAAATCTTTTCGTCTTTTTGTATGGTATACTCCTGGCTATATTCTGGATTTTGAAAAGCTGCATTCCTACTTCAACTGTTAATTTTCTATTTTTCTGGAGCCTGCCTACTTGAAGCTTTCTATGTGTATTTTAGTTGTGGGTTGTCATGTCGGTGGTATCTCTACAAATTGGCCAATGTGGAAATCAGGTCGGTGGGGAATTTTTCAGGACCATCACAAGTGATATCCATAGTGTTCCTTCCGTGAAATCTCGCCTACAAACAGAGTACCTAGAAACATCATCTGAAACCTTCTTTAACAGACTTGACCAAGGTAAGACGCTTTCGGGCAAACGGACGTTTTCGCCGTTGGTTAGGTGGAACATTGGAAGCCAGATGTGTTCAAGTAGATATGGAAGAAAAGGTGATTCAACAGATGCGAACTGACGCTCTCCGTGAGGGCATTTGGCGCTACCCAAAAAGTTATTATTCAGCAAAACAGGGATCAGGTGGGTTTTTTTATAATATTGATTACCTTATTGTCTTTTTGACGTTATTTCAGTTGACCTCTGTTTCCATTTTGGCTGTCCTATTCATAGGAGGCAGATAGGCGAACAATTCTTGGCAGCAAATCATTACCTGACATGTTCAGTTAAATAAGGTAGGTAATTACATGTGATTAAGCTGCATGTGAATCTTGTTACTAGAGCTGCGGGTAGGAACCAAGGGTGCAATACATTTGAACCTTAAATACAAGTGACGTAATGGAGGGGAGCAGTAGAGGTAGTTGACGGGGTATGTGGGCTAGCAGATCGTAGAAGGATGTGGTAGGAGTGAAAGAGAGCGAATTAGGGTCTTTAGATCCATTGTTACCGATAGTAAGCCACAAGGTGTCAGCTTGTGTCGGCTTTTGACTCGCACTGTAGTCTTCCTTATACACAAACCTCGGTCCTCTATCCATGGGGTCGTTGCTTACGCCGTGACCAAAAGTCGTTGTCACAATGACTTTCTTGACATCCTGGTGCTCGGTAGATCGGTCTAATAACATTATTAGGTTACTGTACATCCAGTTTCGGTTGAGTGTTCTTCAGTGGAACTGGGAGTGATCTTCCTATCATCCTTCCTTGGGCAAACGAAATGTTAGTTTGTCGTCTTGATTTACTAATTTAGCTGGCGCAAGACGTTGACACTGGTGTCTTCGAAGTTCTCTAATCTCGATTCGGACACTTCCTAACGCATTTTCCACATGTTCCCTATGAGCGATGACTCTGACCGTTGTGCAATGCTTGCAAAGCGTCTTATAGTACTGCCGTATTTACCCCCCCTCCTTGCTCAGTCCATTTGGTTATGAATTCCCGACTAAGGTTTTGTAAGTCGTAGCTGCTCGTTAAGTGCTTTGCACCATGTGCGACCTGTGAATTTTTCTGACTCTTCGAGAATTCTCACTTAGTTACCTCATAGATGACAGATGGGCGACCATATGCAGTCGATCAGCAGCAGGCTTGTGTATAAATTGCGTCTGAATTTCGTAATTAGGAATCCAGGTGGGGGGAGGGGCAAAGACGGAATATAGTGCTTGCGGAAGTTGAAAACAAGTAGATAATATGTCCTGGGAGGGAGGACGTAAGTGTCACAACCAATAGACAAAGGAGTCGTAGACCGGAAAGAGGGAGATTATCACTGTGCTCTACTTTTCCCTTGTTGGATCTATCTGTTTGCGTCTCCTGAGAAAATATCCATGTGAGGAAGTTACTTAGCTCTGGTTTTATCATATATAACGAAACGGTACTCAACAACGTAAGAGAAAATTCGTGCTTTGACTTGCGGGGTGAACCAGCACTTAGAAGGTCGTTCATGGTTGTTATTCTACCACCAACCCAAAATAAATGTACCTTTTGGAGGTTTCCTTCTATCTTTCAGAACTCTTTTTTCTGTGAAAAGTGTCGTAGCTTTTTTCGTTGGGCTTTGTAGTCGATGGACAACTGTTCAAAGCGTTCATGTGGGCTCGCTTTTCGTGTTATACTATTCATGTGGATGTCGGAGATAAGCCGTGCACAAGGTAGTACATTTCGTTAAAAAAGCCCGTGATCCAGACTTCAAATGACTGCATCATACAAGGACGAGAATCTACTAATGGCCCTTTGGTATTTTATACTCCTGGTATAGTTGATGTGGATAGAACTGATCCACTCTGAGGATTAGATTCATTATTTTTCCCCCCGGTCTTAAATTGTGGGACAAATTCGAGTAATCAACAAACGCTTTAAGCCGTTTCGTCACTTATAATGATTAGATGGACCTTTAAAAAGACATGATACGGCCAAAGAAACAATTATTACAACGTTATGCCCTACCTCGTCCCTACTTTCTGAAACAGTAGCACTTCACGAGACGCTGGTTTGGCATTTGTTTGTCATGTCATAGCCGTCGAGGTTAAACTTATTCAATGGTCTTAGCTGGCTGTCGGTTTGGGCATGGAGTTTCTGCTAGAGTTGTACCTATTTGTCAAGTTGGAAGCTAGTCTTCTCTGTATGTCAACTCCCTCAGTGCAGTCGAGTCAGTTACAGGTTCCCTGCTTACTCATTCCATGAACGCAGTGACGGGAGGCCACCGCCGGCCTGTCTCTTGCTTGTGAGAGGTAACTTCGTGTATTGCTACGAAATTGACTTGGCCCGCTAAATGCATGATCAGTCAGTAAGATTTTATTTACATATATTTTTCTGCGTTGTCCATACGCGCAGTGTTTACTCAGTGGCTCACATTTCTGTTTTCAGGCAACAATTGGGCATTTGGGTTTCTTGTACATGGTCCCGCGTGTGAGTCTGCGGTCGGTGAATGCCTCCGCAAGGAACTCGAAAAATGCGACTGTGTTGATGGAATCCTAATGACAATGAGCCTCGCTGGCGGGACTGGCTCCGGTGTTGGGACGTACCTTTCAAGGTAGTTTATCAACCTGCATGTCCTCCGTGTACACGTTGAATAGGATGCAATTTAATTTAATGTGCTTGCTAATTTCAAGAGCACCATTCTCCATTTCATGACAACCTTCCCTCCTTTGGACAACCTCTGTTATCCTTTTCGGTGATTATTTTATTAGTCGCGTCTTCTGTCGCAAATGTTCTCATAGGCGGATTTATCTTTTATTCAGGCGTCCTTGCATACCAATGTATTTGCCCTGGAGCTAAGTTCACAGTCTTCCGAAAAGTCGTGTAACATGTATCCCCAGATTGCCGGAATATCAGCGAACATTCTGTTATTCGGGTTTCTTTTGACTCAAGAAGTATCTCCTCTCGGACGAGATATGTCTAGTCTTCCATGTTGCAAAAGTGCAACGCAGCGCTGTGTTCTGTCATTACGCAAATTAGAAAGCATCGTTTAAACCATCTAGAAAAGAATTTCGTGATTACTAGTGGAAGAAGTTTGCCAGATGCACAAGCTATTTTCAACGGCCTGAGGACGTCGCTCGTTCGTGTAAACGGTGATTTTTGGTGTTCTTTTACTGTGTGGCCTTCTGTCACACGCGAACCGTTTTTGACTAAAATCAAGAATCTGGTAGGCTGCTTCAGTTTTTTAATTTTCTCCTAGGGTTTTGGGGTAGTGATCACCTTTCAAACGCTTATCGTTTTGCTCTGCCGGATCTAAGCCTCCAAAAAAGGACATTCATTGTGCTTGTTTAGCGCTTTCCTTTCTAATAAAATCCCAATAGCAATTGCTCTTGAAAACTCAACTTTAAAGCAGAACCATCGATGCGTTTGCGTCTTGTCAGGATCCGGTGTTTTTATCAAGAATGTTAGGCTGGTCAAGCGAACTCTTTAATTCACACTTTCCAACCCTAAAATTGTCGCAATCAATCCTTCTGAAGTCGTCTTCCTTTGACAAGCTGATGAGAAAGGGCGTCACAGAACAGCTTCACGCAAATTTCCCTGTCACGCATTTTACGAGCATGAGGCAGCCTCTTCTTCCTAACTTTCAATGGATACTATTATCATACATAAGGCAACTTACAGTACATCGACATTTTTCGATCTGCTGATGTTCGATCAAACTCGATGATCTAGCACTTGATCTTCCTTCATTTAAGTTCTTTCCCTGCACGTAAGGCCTCTAACCCTACCTACTTTTGTGCATGATAACACGCTGGCCAGTTGGTCGTTTGTGCAAGATCCCTTTGGTAAGCAGGAAACCGTAAACGATTGCTAACTTTCTAAGTACCCAAATATCATGTACTTACGCATGAATTAAAATAATGAAAGAAACATTCAATCTAGTTTGTATTTTGACTTGGAAGACATATGCGCGACCTGTGTCCAAAGGTACCTGTTCTGGCGCAACTGGTCTGGCCTTACAAGTGTGGCGAGATCTCCGTGCAGGCCTACAATGCCGTTCTCAGTCTCGGCCACTTTCTTGTCCGCCCGGATGAGGGACCGGATGGTATCCTCGTGCAGGAGAACGATGTCCTTCACCAGGCCTGCTCTAAGCGCCTTGGGAACGCTACTGAGATGCCACTTTCCGCTTTAAACGCCTTAATGGCTCACCAGCTCACTGGAATGCTTCAGGTTCGCGTCTCTTTGTCCTTGTATGATGAATAAGTATATTTACTATTCAACTACAGTGCATATTGACATGCATCTGAGGAAATTTTCAATTCTGTCCTTGTGAGCTCTAGATGGATTACTTAGGAAATTCTGCGTGTGCAGTCAGCCTACTATATTAGATTTGGCGGATTCCATACGTTGAAGTAGGCTGGGCGATTAACTTGACCCAAGGGGGGTTGAACTCACGACTCCTGGTGGGACCTCGTAGCTCAGGTGGCTAGAGCGTTGACTGTACTCAGGCCTTCCGCTTGCTCTTGTGGGTTAGAATTCCACCGAGGTTGCCGTTTTTCACAGTTGGGTCAAAATGACTTGATATTCTTCGTGATCCTGATGTTTTCCCACAAAATAAGTTTGTTCAATTTCAAGCCTAGAAATAGAAACGTGGAAATCTGAGGCTCAATCGTTGTTTTGGGTGTAAAGCACAGTGCCTCCCTTATTCCACCACCGCTTGTTTCGCTTGATTTTTTATTCTACTATCCCAATCTCCGGCGACTTTCCTTCCTCATAAATACCTCTAATTTCTCTCAGCTGGTAAACGGTCCGGGGATTCATTTCAGCTGTGGTGGGCATCCTGCCCCTGGTGGTCCACAATTGTTTGCGGAGAAAACCAAGGGTTTGAATAAACTGCTTGTGTCTACGACTTTATCTCCCTTCATAAAGTTGACATTTTCTAGCTATATGACTTCTCCCTTCCCATGTTCTGCCTTAAAAAGCTGTTATATTTGTTTGAATTTCCGACTTTTCCGCGTGTCTGATGCATAAATGACCCCCCGCTTTCGCGCTATTGTCTGCCCACCATATCTTCTGCCTTACTCGCCTTTTTGAAACGCAGCCACTCTCTGTGCCCTCGCCTCCCTGTCGCCGACGTCTCTCCCAATTCCTCTTTAACCTCTGCGGCCCACCAGACCTGAAGCTCTATCGCCTTCGCTGTTTGCCTTACCTCTCCGCAGGAGTGAAAAAGTTTTCCACGGAGACTTGGCCACAGCTGATCCGCCACGGACGCCAGCTTGGGCTTACTGGGGCCCCAGTGGAAGACAGTGAGTGCCCTGCAGTGTTTCTTAGCCAGAACTTTCGCGCAATTTGCATCATTCCCGTTTTACGCTTCGTCAAACACCGCGATTTACATGCAGATATAGAGATAACGCGCGACCCGGGTAACTGAATAGAAGACAATCGGCGTCCACTTGATGGCGCTTGTTTTCTGGATGTACGATAGCCGAGCTTCTTCATGCTCCTTCTCGTCAGCCTTATTTTAGTTTGTTCTGTCTGTCTGTCCGACCTTGTGTATCAGCATTCCAAGTTAAAATACTTGGTCCCCGTTGGCCGTGGTTTATGCGACGTATCACGTATTTGTATGCAGTTGGTCTCTACTCGGCACCAAGTGGTGCTGATCGGCCTCAAACCGCAAAATCGAACTGTCACGCGGTCCTGCAGAAAACGTTGGAGCCTTCGCGCCTCTTATCGCCTATCGGTAGCGTACGGAACTTCCTGAAGGAAGGTATTATATCATCGCTGCCGACTGAGTGCAGATACTTGACTCCATGGGCAGGTACGAATGAATTGACAACTGAACCCACGTTCGGACTTCTCCACCAAGCTTTGGGGTATGGTTAACTGACGACCAAATAAATCGGAAATGGCCGTTCAGGCTCCCATGTTTTTTCGGTATTCCTACATAGCTGCACGATAGACTGTGATTGCTATAAGAAAGCCCGTATTCCGTTCTGCAATTAGTTGAAGCGCAAGCGGAGATGCATAATCGAACGCCACTCATCCATACATTGCTGTTAGGTGCACTACAGGAAGGTCAACATGTCGGTTGACTGGTTTGACATTGAAAAACCAGGCCTCCTGCACAGGGCATTTGATGGCATCGCCTAGTTCGAAGGCATTCCCCGCTTCTGAATTCTGTGTCACCTCAGACAACTGGTCCTTCTTCCGCGCACAATATTTACTAAGTAGCGCAACCCCATTTCATCCTATCCTTACTGTGTTTACAGGTCAATGGGGAGCGAGTGATAACCACCTCATTTGGCAGTTTGCCTTGTCAAAGTGCCCTTAATTGAGGTTGTGAAACTGATGATTTCAAATAAGACAGAAACGGCCATTCCGAAATTCCCCATTTTTATCGGCATGGATTACCAGTTATTGGCTTCACGTCAATGTAAGACGGCCTACGAAAACCGTAGACCACAATCCAGGCCACTATTTTTTCCTGCAGCCAATATAGGTCCGCATGATAGAATATTTCAAACGTTGCCGATTGTGCGTAAGTAAGTAACTCAACAGCAAAGCGAAATCAGGTACACACCTGTCTCCCCGTCATGGGGTCGGAACATGCAGCTCATTTCATCACTTATTCCCTAGACTCTCGATTCCAAAAAAACTACAATCATGCACCACCCCAATTTCACCGCACTGCTCTTGTTCTGGCTTTCTAAGGCTTCTTTGAAATCAGTACTTTTAAGGTTTCTTTATGAATTGTCCGTCTTTCGCACTGCTTTTAGTGATTTTCCAAGCAAAGCACACGAAGTTCGTTTTTTTCACAAACTTGAAAATTCGAGATACACAGTATTTTCGAAGACTTCAAGGGTTAGTATTGTCTAGGTAGCTTTTAGCTCACTCACACATCTTATTGCCGGCGTTGTGTGTTATTTGCAGACAAGTGCTGAATTATCTGCGTGTGAAATGTCAGTGCCAAAAATCGTCATCAACTTATCCAAGCCCTTTTTGGTGGACATTTCAGTTGCGCATGTCCTGCAGATTTCTGAAACTTGTTGAGGTCGACAATTAACTAATTAGTACTATTTGGGTAATTAAATCTCCCGTCTTTGAGAATGCTGTAGGTCTCGGTGTTTCCCGTGCCTTAATTATGACTTAATATGGCCTCTGAAGACACGAACTGAATGCAGATGAAAAACCAGATTTTTTATGGGTTTGAACCCTGTGATGATGGACACAATCAGCTACATCAAGAGGGCATCCACCTCCCTTCCCCCCCTCCTCCCGCCAACTTTCATTATGCTACATGGCGCCCACCTTTGTCTCCTGTAGACATGGACTGGACTCTTTCGGCCAATACCTCCGTCAAAGGCTACAAACGCTTCCCGGTAGTCGCCTTTTCTGCCATCGCTCGCGGTGACGGAGCGGCCGAGCTGCTTAACGACACCTCTCGCCTCTCTGGCTTCCTGCCCGAGCCATCTGTCTCGAGCACCTTCCAGACCCCCTTTATGGGCACATGTCGTCCACTATGCGGCTATACTCGTAGCTTATTTCTGGCCACTAACGGTGGCGGCCTGTTGCCAGCTGACCTCACTGCTGACAGTTCCCCCACCGGCACCGATCCTGCTGCCAGTCTGCGTCAGGTCTGTGCGCGTGCCTGGCGCCTGTTTGCAGCTAAGGCCTACCTCCACCAGTACGCCCAGTATGGTCTGGAAATGGACACTTTTATGGATTGCTTCGCGGTGGTTGAGCAGACTGTTCATACCTACGCAAAACTGGCTGTCTAATATCTGTATATGCTTCTTGTCCGATCCATACAACATTCCATCCAGAGATGTGTACTTACATGCTCTGCTTGTCTCTGCCCTTCATTCTTGTCAATTTTGGCGCTCTTTTGACAAAACCGGCTGTGTTCTCTTCTCACTCTTTTAGCGAGTAAACATTTTCTCTCAGAATTTGCACAAATCAGTCCGTGGTGGTTGTCTGCGGTGGTTTGCTATTGGTGTCTCGATCAGTCTTTTTCAGGGAAGACCATAAGGGTCCATTTGTTGGGCGTGTGCAGGTACTGTATATCGTGTACTTCGGAAGGGTTGATTGTTGATTACGATTACTGGCCATCTCGGGATAACAGAGGAAGATGGATGAATATGCCGACATTTGGAGACGAAGAACTGCACAACCACCAGCTCCTTGTGAGTGGGGGCTTCCACCACGCACGCCGGATATGGACTGCTTGTCAGTTTAGCAAATCCTTATACATTTATCCGTCTAGTAGCGCATGCATTTGAATCCACCATACTGGTCGATATTTTGAGCAGAAATGCTGCCTTCGGTATGATAACTTCGTTCTGTGGACATCTCAAAGGCTCGACATATGATAAAGAGTATAAATCTTTTTGTGGCAAAGATGTGTGAAGTTGACGGGGAACCCACGCAGTCAAGCGGAACGCTTCGAACTGCACTCTGCTAAATCGGTTTAAAGTATAGGAACGGAACGATGTTTTGAAAAGGTCCAAAGATCGGCGCAAAGCTAGGCGCGGGATAATTGTCCACCTAAGGCCAGAAAGGGGCTGAGTACACTTGAAGGGTACGACGGCCACCTTTTTCCGTCTAAGAGGAAGGTAGCGGAATGATCCCGATATTTCTATTTACAGTAGGCGGGAAGACCCTACCAACGCAGCCGTCGTACTCCTGAGAGGTAGGCCGGTCGATGACCATTTTGACCTGTTCTCCGGCAACGAAAACCAAATCAGGGCTTGTCCTTCGTTTGCGCGCACAAGGTGACATCGAAGGAGGAAGAGGCATTTGCCACTCGAGTCCAGTTATTCAAAGCCGTTGCCTTCACAGTCGTCCGGAGAAAAAAAGGAGATTCAGTTGATAAAGTAGTAAATTTAAACTCCTTGATCTTGGCACATAAAGTACGGAAGACTGTTGGTAGAGGGAATGCTTGTTGAGATAGCTCCAGTTAAATGGCATCAAAGGTTTGTTCATGGGGTTGTGCCGCCATAGCTCTTTAGGTGGGGGACGTTTGTCAAACAAGGATATGAACCGTTCTCTGGGGCTTGTGGGACGATAGTACTGTTGGATAGCTATCAACAAAAATAAAACGCCAAATAAGAGCGCATAGAAGATCATATCTACTCATAGTCAGCTACATCAGTAATTAGTGGAAGTCGGGTTGCTCATAATTTGTGGATTTGCCATCATCTGCTACCCGGCTTGATTATGATTCGACTTGAGAGACTACTACTAACTTCGTTCGGATTCAGTAGCCATACCTTCCATAAACAAGGGTACATTGTCCCTGTAGGCTGTTCGCCTTGGTGTACGACTAGTGGTATGGAGAACAGAAACGGAATGAAGCCATTATCTAAGGCGAAAGGGGAACGCAACCGCACATGGCTTCACAGGCGAAGCCGACTGCGAAATGCATACGTTTACGAGGTAGGATGATCGATAATTTGATGGCTCCCGATTCAGAAGGCAGGGAAGGCAGTTAGACGGATAATGTTTCGCAGAGGCCCAGAGTGTACACGCAGCCCGTCAAACCGTTCTGCTTAGCGTTTTAACCGGGCAAGTGTTGGCCGAATGCATGCGCCCGAACTCCTCCCGGCCGAGAGCTAGTCCAAGCCTGTTTGACTGGCAGACGGCGGTATGGGTAAGGGGTGGCGCTGACGACTGTGAAGACAGGCTGCTGCACTCCCACCCAGCCAGTCAACCAACGTGTGTTGCTTCATCAATCAAGCGTGATGCGTACGGTCCAGTCTACACCTGGCCGAGCATTCAAGATTTACTGCACGCCCTGCACCGACTTATGGGAAGTAGTGACCATGGAGATAAGGCAAATCTGATCCACAAAGTCGTGTAGTCAAAGTAAGCCTCTGCAGTATTTTTAGAAAAGCCTGGCGGCGAGTGACCGGCTAGTTGTAAGAGGCGCCAATAAATCCGAAAATGGCGTATACGACTGAGCCACGGTACTCCGCCGATATGGTCTGTAGCACAGTTATTAGGTCGTCGATTTTTAAAATTTGTCGGTTTTTCTTATATATGGATCTGGATTCCTGCATGTGGGATCAAAGGCTGGAAAACTTTAGTGCTAACTCTTCCATAAAAAATTATTTAGAATGTCAGCTTATAACGATAGTCAGAAAATGCTGTCTCACAATCATATGAGCAATCTTATTGTAGTCACCGTCTGACTCTAAAGGGATCTACAGTGAGTGACTGATCTCATGAAATGCTGGCTGAAATTCTGAAATGAGTTTTCATTTAGGAAGGATTACTTATGTGCGGTTGTAATATTAATTGTCTTGCAGCATAATACTATAACATTTAGGACTCTGCAGGATGTCAGTCTTGAAATGCACTGATTTCCAATCTTCCGTAGAAACCGCCCCCGATCAAAAAAAGTGACTACTTAAGTGGCATGCATTTTTCACATTGATTTTCGATGTTCTTGTAAGTTCGAATATATTTTGTAGAAACCACGAACAAAAATATGCCATCGTTCAGTCATTTGATAGAGAGTCACGCCATCTTTATATTTTATACTCTAAAGAGTAAAATTAGGTTCTGAAAACGTTTATAATTATGAGATATTTTAAGACTGTGCAATGTCCATTCATACAGCATCGAATCTGTACGTTTACCACTGCTCCTTATGAAATGTACAACGTCGTCCGCATCCATTGCAAACTTTTATGGACTCTTTATGGTATCTTTTTAAAGACATAGAATAATATGTGATTTTCTTTACTCGGAACGCATGCGCCCTGTAGAGTTAAATCACTAAGCGCTAACGCGACGACTGCTCAGGTTCCAAATTTTTCGGGAATCTGAAAACTCTTTTAAGGCCTAACTATACTTCTTCTTCGAGCATAAGATATGAAGATGATAAGATTCTCTATCAAACGACTAAATGAAAGCATATTTTTGTTAGTGGTTTCTACAAAATATATTCGAACTTGCAAGACCATAGACAGTCGAGGTAAAAAATGCATGCTCTTTAAGTAGTCATTTTTTACCGAATGTGGTCTCTGCAGGAGGTCAAAAAGAAGTACATTTAAAAGCCGACATCCTGGCAAGTACGAAATACTATAGGATTATGCTGCATGCTAATCAATATTACAACTCCACCTAAGTAATCCTTCCTCATCGAACACACATTTCAGAATTTGGCCCAACATTTCATGAGATCGGTCACGCACCGTAGGATCTCTACTTTGCTGCGAAATTTCAACACAACTTTTATTCATGCTAATAATAAAACTCGGATTCCAGCTTCCTAAAGGTATTCCACGCTTACTGAATATTCTTCGACATTGGTTCTCTAATTCGTTGTCAGACCTTAGTAAATAGGCAAAAAACAATTAACACTTCAAACGTGCTGAAAAATCAATGTTCATATGGTGTTTGTGCCAGTAGGAGGCCGCCGTGTGCGTCATTCCGTATGGATTAACTTTCGTCTCTTCTACTTTTCCCTGTGACTTCTGTACACGTCATCTAACTCACTGTGCCGATCAATGCATGATTCGTCGGAGTGCATAGCTTCAAGGAACTCTCGGCCCCTTTTAGAGGGGGGAAACTCCGACGATGCGAGCTTTGTCCCATGCGAGGGTATGCTCCGTATCAAGGGTACGCATGACCAATTGAGACAGGTGTTCTCACCTTTTAACTGGCAGTTGATGCTCATGGATGCGTGTAAGGGCAGAAATTCCCGTTTGGCCACATAAGCATCATCACAGGTATCGCATGGGATCTTATAGACGACTTCTTTTTTCTCAAGAGAGCCAGGCGTATCCTTAGGGTGTAAAAGCTAAATGCGCAAAGTAGTCTCCGGCTTGTGCACCACTTTTATTTGGTTCTTGCTCAAGTGTTTTTCTACAAGTTCAGACACATGCCTGATGTAAGGAAGGATGCGCCAAGTATTTACTTTGGGCGCATGATTGGAACTATCTAGTTCCTTTGTTTTTACCTCTTGCTGTCTCATGCACCGAAATACAGAAGCTCTGGGATGGTCGTTCTGGAAAATAATGCAAACAGGTAATTTGGCTCCAGTTGGTAGCTTTTATCGCCAGAGCTGTTTGATTTTGCTCAATGTAACAAACGTTTGACAGTACTCCGCTTGTGAGAAATTGGGCTGTTGATCTCATAGTGTAGAATTACTTCCGAATATGTTTCTTTGTGCTAAACGGAAATGTGTAATGTTCCGTCAGTCTTTCGCTGCACGAGAACATCCAGAAATGGGAGTTTAGTGCCAACTTCTTTCTCCAGCATGAATTTAATCCCTGGAATGGTTGAGTTGATGGTGCTGTGGAGGATTTCCAGTTGGTCCTTTTTAGCGTTTCCACGTCATACCCACAACTTAGGGTTAACTAAAGGAAGTTCCAGTTTCTGCATTCTTACCTGGACAAGAAAGCCAGCTATAGGTGATCCCATTGGAACCCCCTTTAGTTGCTTACAATGTTGGTGGTCGAATAAAGAATATGTTTCTAAACAAACGTATATCAGTTCGAGTAAAGTAACCGCGGGAACATCCCTGTCATAGGAAACTAGGCGTTCATCTGTTCATTGTCTTGCGAAATCTAGTGGTATAGATGTTAATAGGGAAACGACATCAAAGGAGACCATTAGCTCAACAACACGGGCCACTGGGACAACGGGCCCGTGGGCCCAGTGGTAAGAGGCGTTGGACCTCTAACTAACAGGTCGCGAGTTCGAGTGGCAGGTGTTCCACACTTCGGGGAAGGATATTACTGGCTGATGACGACTAATAAGCCAGAAATGG